GGGCCATCCGGAGAGGGAGGATGGCTCTTTCTTAGCAAACTTCTTATAGGTTTCCAAAGCAGATTTCTTTCAGCCATTCAGTTTCTTACTGAAAGCTACATCAGCACCACCTGGACCTTCACTGCCACCTCTACTGGGATTATCAGAAAAGGAAAACTACCATAGTGAATTGCAGCAGCAACCTAGTGACGTGCACCTGTGCATGTGCTCTATGGATTGCACTTAGGTTTGGCCTTTGTTGCTCCTGTATTTCAAGCCTTTGCAAAGTCTCCAATTGGGTTTCGGGGCTGAGAGAATTACCACTGTCACATGGACTACTGTCACTGATGCTGCGGCAGAAGTGGATGACAGTACTCTGTATGTCAACAGCAACTGTGCTCTTTACCAAGGCTTTGAAACCAGTGTTTTACAAGCGGTGCTGCAGAAGACAGCAAGGGGCCCCACCCATCACAGGTGGCTTCAGTCAGGTTGGCACTAAGCTGATTCACCTTGCCAGTGTCAGTTAGGGAAGAACCCCACCAGACCCCATTACACAGTGCCTAAGATCAGAGGCTGGCCAGGTTCACAGGCAGCAGGTAAGAGGGCCTTGATGAAATGTACAGGAAGCCAGCGCATGCGTAACTGAGAAAACAGAACCGAAACGAAGGTCTAAAGTCATGGGAAAACAGGCAGGCCTCAGGCACCTCGCCCTTCTGCTGCCTCAGCCTGCAGCAGCCACTACCACTACTGCAGGTTCACTACACGGGCTCACTCGAAAGTCCAACAGTACTTAGGTGACAGGGCATCCGAGAGGAAGTCACTGTCGCGAATTTAGTATGCTAAAAATCTGAGATGAGTGGCTTGTTAAAATGAGATATTGAAAATGACTGCTCTACAAGCTGTCTGTAAATGACAAGTCACCTCAGGAAGCTGCAGTCACTGCTTCCCTCTTGAGCAACCAACTGCAGCATACAACATGGACCCAAACTTAGCGAGCTGAAGCAGCAAGTGCTCACAAGGCAGAATGCGCCTGTCGCTAGAAATAAACAGGAGCAAGATGGGACAGGCCTAATTAAACATCAAAAAAGGTGCTTGTGCTCTAAAAAAGTATTGGGATGGTTTCCCACGGCAGACTTACAACATGGAAGACAAGAAATTGTGGACACTGCTTAAAAAAAAAAAAAACAGTATGAAAGGGGTAAAGAAGAGGAGGGGGAAAGGAGGCAGGGAAATGAAAAGTAAAAGGCAGACTCAGTCCCACTTCTGGACACTAGCACACCTACACAGCCCTGCATGCAGGTGGAGCGAAGCACAGCACAAGGCTCCGTATCAGATGTGTGCCCTGTAGCATGCCCACAGCGCTCTGGAGCAAGGGAAGGAAGTACTTCTCCACATGGGTCTGCAGGTCATCTGCACTGCAGCCCTCAATCCCCAAGGCACTCAAGGAGAACATTATCTCAGGGGGGAGAATATGAGAAGCTGGATTTTAAAACATTTGAAAAACAGTAATTTAGGGAAAAAAACAACCCACTTAATTGAAGCAGTTCTGCTGGAGACAATGAGGAAGTGGGACAGTGAGGGGTATCAGTGCCAGGCTGTCTACGGAAGCGGGAGTATGGGTAGGAGGTACGGAAGCCATACAGAATAGTTGGAAGACTAACCGAACAAATAAACTAGCATATTGAGGACAACAGAAGCCAGGCTTCTTGCTGCCTGAAAAGGGGAAAGACTGAAAAGAACCTTGTGGTACTATATTAGAAATGGAAGGACCAGTACCAGTATGCTTTTAAACGCAGAACAATACACCTAGATTTTGCAAGTTTTAGGTGTATAACATGGAATGACGGATGCATAAGTGGAGGGATAGACAATGGTTGAGGGGCTTGGAGGGACGGATGGATAGATGGGTGTGGGGCAGAAGGATGGGTGGTCAGATGAGTATGTGGGTGGGTGAATGACACGGTGAGTGCATGGCTGGGTGGATGGGTACACAGATGCAGTTGTGGACAGACTGATATGTGGATGATACACCTGATCCTGGGAGTGAGCAGGGAGACCACAACATAAGCCTAGAGCACGTTAGTACACCAGGAATCAAAGGAGTACTCAAAGGATACTATCAAAGGGACACAGAGAGGGGCTCCCACTAGCCATATCTAGACAATTCAGGCAATGAAATAGTATATCACACCATAATTCACTGAAGATAACAAGATTTCATAAGAAGCCAGGTGTGGTGGTGTATCCAATAATCCCAGCATGCAGGATGCCGAGGTAGGAGAATCACTGCAAATTCAAGGGCAGCTTGGGATCCATAGTGAGTTCAAGTCCAGCTAAAACTATACAGCAAGACCCTGTCTTAAAAAGAAAAAATCACAAAGAGGGAAAAAGGGAAGGCGTAGAAGAAAGAAATGCTTCTACCCTAAGATAGAAAGGCCACCTGCAAATAAAATATACAATAAATAACAGATATAGGTGACTATCAGCAGAATTATGGTGGTTATGAGCAGAATTCTCAGTGAAAGCTAAGGCTTGGAGAAGTCCAATGAGGAACAGAGATCAGGGTTACATCACTCTATCTGCCCACAAAATGTGTAGTAAAGAAAAAGTTTTAAAACTGTAGCTTCACTGGAGGAACTCTGTAGGCACCAAGCTGAAGAGTGGCCATGGTTCATCCCGACGGGGGTGGGAGGGCCTGCTGTTATGACACCCGGGGAGGAACACGAACTCACCAGGCCAGGATGGTCTGCGTGGCCCACGAGGCAGACCGAATGCACTTGGTGGGAGAGAATCAGGCTAAGAATGGAAGGCTGTAATTTTAAGTCTATCAAAGACATAATGGTAGGAGAGACTAAAGAACATCCCTTTAGGAAGGGGACTGAAGAGACACATTAACCAAATATATTGCATGCGGCTGGACAGCACCTGTGCCAGGAAACAGAAACAAGTATTCTCAGCAGAACTGGAACAATATGAATAGGGTCTGTGGATGAGACAGTCACTAGTCATGTTGAGAGAAAGGTAAGGAGAAAGAGAGGTAGAGCAAATTAAACACTATGTGCTGCAAATATGTACTTTAAAAAAAAAGTTCCTATATAAATGTCACCATAAAAAAAATAGAAAGTAAGGGCCTAACAAATGTGAGAGCTCTTTGTACTATTCTATCACTTTTCTGTAGGCTTAAATTTTAAATAAGGCAAAAATGTAAATTCTTTCAGTTATCTACTTTAAATTATTGTCTTACCTTTTTAGTTCTCTTGCAAACATGTACACAGGCTGAACTTTTCACTTGAGACCTCAGCCTAGGAGGCTCTTTACATCCCTTCGATTATTTGTATTAGTAGGAATTTAAACTGAATAAAACTGCACCATAGTAAATGTCAGTTTCTGTGTCAGGATGCCCTGTTTTTACTGAATGGAGTGGTAACAATCAGATACTGCACATGGCTCTAAGTGCCAAGGGTGACCAGCAGACTGAACCGCACAGCTCGCCTGCAAGGTGACACAGTGAGGTCAAGGTGCTTCTGATGCATGCTGTGCATTTTCTTATCTGGCTCCCTAAGCAAGGATGAGAACTGGCTCTTGCCTGCCATCTTGTGATGAGCACTACTCAAGTCTGTCTGGAAGCCACAAGGGCACGCAGACGGCTCACTAGGACCACAGGGCAAGCCAGAGAAAAGGATCCATGGAAGTACACGCGTAAAGCCTTCACTATATGACCAAGTAACAGGGTCACTAGCTTTTTACACTACAGGTCAAAATTAGATGATGCTTAGAGATGGTACACTAGGAAAAACAATCACACTAGGTGATTTTCAGAATTCACACAAACCTCATAAATGTGATAAAAATTAATGTAATAAAAATTAGCAATCTGTTCAATTTTTAGTTTCACCAAAAAAACAAAACAAACAAAAAACCCCTATTGTTATGTGCTTAGTTGCTTTTCTCTTGTTACTGAGACAAAATACCAGACACCCAAAGTTAAAAGAGGAAAGGCTCATTTAGCTCTCTTCATAGAGGCTTCAGCCCGTGATCAGCTCGCTCCAAGGCAGGGTGGCACATGGCAGAAAGGTGACTGTTCATGATGGTGGAAGGCGGCAAAAGCAAGGAGAGGGAAAGGATAAACTTCTTCTGGTCCCTTCTATTGGATGCAGGCCATCCACCCTCAGGCAGCGTAGCAGACACCCTTAATACATCACTGGACCATGAATAAGTCACAAACTCGAGATTTAGTCACTTCTGAAAAGCAGACCCCTTCCACGCATGAAGCTGTGGAGGGACATCTGGACACAAACCATAACATTATGTAAATAGTTCCTAATAAATTAGGCAACGAAATTAGCTAAGAAACATTGCATGAAAAATTTAAGAGACATAATACCGCTAACTAAAAAAAATTTTGCCAAAAAAATAGTGCTGGAGGAAGGGATCTTTTTTGAAAATTTAATTGCAGAAGCAAACAACTCTAGGCACCAACTTTCATGGGAAGAAGCAGTGCTGACCACATTCTGAAGCAAACAGAGCAGAGCTTCAAGTGCATTCAATTCACCTACAGATATGGAGGGGGGTCAAGAGGCCGAGGCCCAAGATCAGGGAGGGGGCAGCTGATGAGAGAAGCCCAACAATGGCCAGACTAGGATGTAAACGGCCAGTTCTTCCCTAAAACTCTGGCAAGTACATGGCTTGGTTCAGATCAAATGGTTGAGGCCAATTAAAGCCAATAAACATTTATTGAATGTTGCCTTTATGCCCAGCCATCTGCTAGGTACCATCAAATATTTTCTCACAGTAACTGTTGATATTTACATAGAATATGCCAGATGGAGCTATGAGGTCTATTCATTGCCCATCGTCCAGCTCTGCTCATGACCCACACACAGAAGTTCAAATACTGGATGACAGCACTGAGGTTTAACTTGATATCTAGAAGTCCTTTCTGGGCTTACAGCAGTTTTTTCCAGCTTCTACTGCTATAACCAAAAAGTGCTGCTGACTTACAACCTACAATGAGCCCTTACCTCAGAATAAGCAAGAGTGATGTGCTCGTAGATGCCTTGGTGGTGATGAATGGCGTCTTCCAGATCCTGCAGTTCGGAGGGAAGGTCCACCTCGCCGCAGGCTTTACACCATGAGTCCACATTGCTCATGTACTTGGAGGTTAAAAAAAAGAAAGGTTATTTCTATCAATGTGTCTCTGACACACCTCAGCCTCTCCTCCGGTGTTTTTACATGGTTTTGAAAATTAGGGTAGCTGTGCTGTGCATGGTGACACCTGGAAGGTGAGGCAGTGGATAGGTACAAGTTTGAGGCCAGCCTGGGCCAGATAAAATAGATCAAAGCCAGCCTGCACTACATGGCAAGACCCTGTTTCAAAAACAACAGAATTAGAGTAGATGAGGGAAGTTACTGGAATAAGAATATAACATAGCTGTATCTCCAGCTCAGATGGCACTGATGTGAATTTTCAAGTGTGATTCTTGGACTCCACCCCCAGTAGTTTGGATCTGGCAGGACTGGAGGGACCAGGCCCAGTAAATGTCAGGTTTGAGTTACCCAGGAGTCAGGGTGCGGCTCTGGAGCCACACTGCCCTGCTGTCTGTCGGGAGCACCCTGGCCAGCCTCCCAACTCACAGGTGAATTTCTATTTCTCCCTTTCTTCTAATTCCCTCCTTGTCCCACCCCTACAGAAAGGGGCTGTGCAGACATAGCAGCCTTATTTTCCTTTCACATGAAAATATCAATGGAAGGCACCAAGTATTATGGTTTGTGTTGAGTTGTTCCCCCAAAGCCTCATATAATTAGGGGACAGATGCAGCTGGAGGATCAATACGTGGCCTGAGACAGGGCCAGAGGACGGGGCAAGGCCCGAGGGGCGGGGCCCACAGTCGCAAACCATTACACTGGCTAGCTCATGCTTTCTCAGAGAGCTGGGGTGGGTCATCTTGGGCAAGGCAGCACCTCAGCCTCTCCTCTGGTGTCTTGAAACATCCAGTAACTGTGAGCTAAATAAACCTTTCCTTTCCTCATTTTGAGTGTTGGGTATTTGTCCCCGCAATGAGAGAAGAGTTAACTAAGACAGAATTTTTTTTTTAGAGAAGGAAAGGTTTATTTAGCTACTGGAGGTTTCATAGTTTAAAGCAGCCTGAATTACATAGCAAGACCTCAAGATACTGCCATCCTGCACTACAGCATCTGGAAGAGGGGCTGGGGTGCAGCCCTGTCCATCCTGGATGATCGGCTCCACACCTCCAAGAGAGGCCACCAGGCCTGGGGTGGGGGTGGGAGGTGCACATGCCATCTGTGTAAAGGTTCTCACCTCTCTGGCCCCATCCCTTAAGCCTCGGCTGCCCCTCAAGAGGCCACAACCCCATTACTTAAGTGATGCTTTGCGGGGACAACTAGATACAAACAGTAATGTCAAGGTATCTGAAATCTTTTACCTAAAATCATGAAAAGCAGCCAGCTGACTCTTCTACTCTTTTAAGAGGAAATTAACATCGGAATTAAGGGGAGATCACTTAAGCTGCTCAGCCGTGACCCTCAAGATGTCTCCAATTTGCATATAAACTAAAGAAGTCCAAGCTGCACAGCTGGCCTGGGTTGCTGACTGCAGTTCCAATTTTGCTTCAGTTTTCCCCACAGCTACCCACATCTTCAGACCTCATCAATAGCGGATAAATCACTGCCAAATTTCCTAGGGAGATGTTATCAGAATCCATCACAGTTAAGAGTCAAAGGCAAGCACAGAGGCCTAATTAAAGAAGCTAACTCAATTAAGCCAAATAGCTGTCAACACATTTCCCTGGGTTTTAACCTCTTTCACTCCAGTTCCTGGAGGAAAAGACTTTAGCAGGGAATGCAGAGGATTGTTGTTTCAAAACACAATACCTGGGAGCCAGACAGGAAAGCTGCTGTAATTCTCTTGAAATACAATGAGTGTAATCTCCTAGTTATTTATGGTATTTGTATGGTTTTAACATAGACAAGTGAACCAACAATTGTTTCTGAACATTCCTTTATCATTAATCCTGACTCAGAAAACTATCTGGATCCAAGTGCTGCTGCTTAACACCAGCTCATAAAGCATGAAGTGGCATCAGCACCGAGCACCACTAGGCACTGCGAGCGACAGGGAATGCTTCTACTGCCTTGTTTCATGGTCTCACCAGCATCTTCAAGGCAATGGCGGTAGCAATACAGTTATGCCTCTCCACCTCCCAAGTATTATATTCACGGCTACATAAGCGTATTTCTAAGCATTTCTTGGTTAGTGTTCCATGAATGTCAATTAGTTCAGGTTGGATGACTAATTATTCTTGAGTTCCACATCATCCTTCTTCCATTATTGCATTTAATGCCAATTATTAAATTATATAAGCTTTTTCCAAATACAAATTGACTGAAGTTAGCCACCATCATTAATAAATTATCAGCTCCAAGCCAGCAATTAATTTGCTCTTAGACAATGGCCACTGTCAAACACCCAAGCCAAGGAGTTAAGACACATGTTCCCAAAAGAAAGAAAAAGCTTCTGAATACTAATTGAACATGGTACAATTAAGTATTAGTTACATGGTATAGCACTTTACAACTTAATGGCAAGTGTCAGACCATAGATCACTCTACTAAGACCATATTCAACTCCAATTTTTGAAGCAACTGAAATTAGTTCAGGCCTGGACACAGTTAGACACAAATTCCATAAATAACAAAGCACAAATTTTTTTTTTTTTAGGAAAATCCTTCAGAATCCACTTGAAGGCTTAAAACTGACTTTTCAAGAATGAAACACAGGGCTGGGCAGATAGCTTGGTGGTCTAAGCACCTGCCTGGCAAGCACAAGGACCTGGGCTTGATTCCTGGTACCACATGCTGTGCTGGCTCAGGAACTCTGAGTGCATCACGCAGGCCACTGAATGGACACACAGAGAAGCTGGCCTGTGTGAGTAATGATCTTCCAAAGACATAAACTCAAAATCCCCTGTGCCCAACTTACAGTGAAGTGGTATAGGGACTATCTTGCCTAAGTAAAAGAACTATAAAACTTCCCCATCTCATTCAATCTATAAGCAGCTCTCTACAGTCCTACAGATTCCCTCAAGACCAACCAACCAGATTTCCATAAAGCTTCTGTCCCTGCTGCCAGATGACACAGGAAACTTTCTGAGACTAGAGCCATGGTAGTAGCTTCCACGGGTCAGTAAGCAGACGCAGCCCCGTGGTGGAGTGCCCCTGGTTCCATCTTTAGCACAGAACACAGGAAAGAAGGGACAGGTGAGAAGACAGATTCTGAGCCTGAGCAGAAAGAGGACCTTTTTTTTGAGTGGTACCAGGATGGCGACCTTGTTTAAGTGTTGCTGAACAGAAAGTAAAAGAATTTGGTCAGTCACTGTACAAAAAGCAGCAGATGGGAGGGGACACGATTTATATACATGGCCTTTAGAGGAAATGTTGTATAAATAACAGCTTGCTTTTTGTAAACATTCTTCCACTCCTTCCCATGGGCCAAGAAGGCATCTTCAACCTGAGAGCCCCTCGGCTTTCCTGCCTGGTCTGCCCAAAGCCAGGGTCCAGAGAAACAGCAGATTCACCCCACAAGCTTCTTACTCCACCCTGCCCTCACCTCCAGGGTAGAGCCTGGGCTGAGCACAGGTAACACAAAGGGGTGGGAATTTCCAGAAACATGAATTTTTAAAAGAATTTTTAGAATGACTTTTCTCTGGCAAAATGGAAACCAGCTGAAAAGTACACAGAGACATGAATTCACACTTCAGAAGTCTTTTCTTGCTTTTCTTTACACTTTTTGTTTTCAATTCCAAATAGCAATACTCCACTTTTCTTTTGGTTCCATCACCACCATCTCCCAGTGCTGCCCACCTCATCTACCCAAGGGAATCACAGGGTGGAAGAAGTTTTGCACTGTGAATCAACCTGAGAAACTTGGACAAGAAGATAAGCTCAGTTTCAACTAAGATATGCCAAAGACCACTCCAAATACCTTAGACTTACTTTCATTAACACATTATTCTTTTTGCAATTTTTAATCCCAATTCCTTCCTATTCAATGAGAATCTTGTTCTTACTACAAACAATGGGACCTGTGCTTTTAGTAAAAGCTTTCATGAAAAAATGTGTGTGTGTGTATTTATGTATAAATTGGGAAAAATTATATGTGTATTATTTGCTTTAGAAAGTTAAAAGGAAATATTGAGGCAGTATGCATATTATTTTCCTCTGAATTTTAAACCAGACTTAAATAAAACCATATAAATGATAATGACCATGTATGCCATGTTTATAGTAAATATTATCTTCAAATTTTTATGAAAAGTAAAATTTTGTAGGAATATTAATGTAAGGACAAAATTATCTGTTATCTTAGGAAATGAAAAACCTAGTCATGGACCTCAAGCAAAATTCCAGTCTTGAGAACACAGGCAAATCCCTCTCCACATACAGATGATTAGGGCATTAGACCACCATCTCCCTCTACTCCAGTGAGATTCATGGATGAAACACGATCTTACGTTAAAGAACTCTGTAAATGTTAAAGAACTATACAAAAACTAGTTGTTACTTTTTTGGGGTACTGCCAAAGTATAGAAAGCCTTTAAAGTCATGGCCAAGACAAAATAATCAGACCTATGGTTCACTTGGAAAGTGACCAGAATCTCTGACCAGAGTATTCTGAGGCAGTGGAAACATGTCCCTGTACTGTTACAGACCTACCAGCAACCTGTTACTGTTGAGCACATGAAATGTCAAACTTAATTTTTACTGAAATCTATTTTTAAAAATTATTTTATTCACCTTTAAGCAAATTCAATGGCCACATGTGATGAGGGCTATCACAGGAAATTATACAGTTCTGGATTACTGTTGTAGCAGTAGATCTGGAAAGGTTAAAGTATAGTAAAACAAACTCACTTTAATTCTCTAATTCTTTATATTTTGTAAAAATATAATGTGGCCAGGCATGCTGAAGCAGCGCCCCTATAATTCTAGCACTGGGAGTCTGAGGTGGAAGACTGACCTGGGTTCAAGGCCAGCCTCACTATGGGAAGTCTGTTAACATAAAAGGACCATCAAGGGGTTACCCACGCTGGACCCGGTAAGTGAAATTTGTAGGCCCCACACAACATCTTTGGGTAAGACCAACAGCACTGTCTTAATATGTTCGTATTTGCAAACTAATACTCTGATGCTGTGCCATCAATGGAGATGAGCAGATGAGAGAGAATTGTGGAGACTTCTTCATCTCTCTATGAGAGCTCATTCTCATGCAGTTTTAACCTCAGTGTTTAAATTAATGAAGTCATAAACAACACTAATACAAGAACACCCACAGAGATCATTGTGGCAGCTCAACCAAGAGCTCAGTCCTTACAGAAATGGCTGCTCTCATCATGCGAGGCCACTGACCACAGGATGCATTTCAGCACCAAGTCCACCAATCAAATTTAAATTTCTCGTGAAAGTTCTGGATGAGATTCAAACAGGTGGCTAAGAAGGAGGTCTAAAACTTGGAAGAGCTTCTGGACCTTTTCAGGTTGAGCTACGAAAATAGAATGAGCAGACACAGTAGGCAAAGTGTCTCAAAATAAGGAACAAAGTAGACTTGTTTGTGTGCTCTTCTGGGTACAGGAAACTACTTTAGTGGATGTGATTCCTTCCTGGCAGCAAAACTGAAAATAATCTTCTTTCTGTTCAGTGATGGAAAAGATACTCAACACATCTGAATTTAAGCTAAGGAAACAGCTGAAAAGAGGGCCGGCCAGACAGCTCAGTAGACTAAAGGGCCTGCTTCAGCAGAACGCCGTGGATGGGGCTCAATCCCCAGCCGTGCAGGCCCTGCCCTTGGGGTGCATTGAAAAGTGACTGAGACTGGGCGTGGTGGCACACACCTGTAATCCTAGTGCTTGGGAGGCTGAAAACAGGAGAATCGCTACGAGTCCAATCTACATAGTAAAACCGTGTACACCCTGTAGACCCTGTCCTAAATTCATTTTTAAAAAACGGAAACACCTGAAAAGGCATTCTAGTGCCCCCCCTACACACAAGGGTGTCCCGATGCAGGCTTCTAGCATCACTGGAGTCCAGACCACATTCTGTGCCCCATCCTCACCAGCAGGCTTTTGTCTCTAAACTCATAGTTAGTTTCTCTGGCCAGTCCCCATGCAGAGATGTCTGAGCATTGTCAGACTTTATACAGGATCTCGTGAAGTTCTCTTCATTTATTCATTCTTCTAGTGTAGTTCCCTTCAAACCATAAACTGCAGTGATTCAGTGTTATTCAAATAAAAACAACCACCTCTTTCAACTTTGCTACACATTTGAAATATTTAGTAGTAAAACATTTGGGGGAAGTGCCCCCACAGCACCCCATTTTTAAAGCAGGATGGATTGGCAGTTTATCTCCTAAGTTTATTGATCACCCTGAATCCCATCATGTTCATGAGTACACTTTGCATTGTGCTTCAGATTACCTGCCATTCATCTGAGCAGCTGGTCCTGCTTCAAATGCATTTGTATTATCTTAGCATACCTTTCCAGGGGCTCCCAGCCAACTCACACACATTCCAGTTCCATGAAGTTGTCACAGCCCACACTGTATGGTTATTAAAGATGACACATGCATGGACCACACAGCTTACTTTTTCAATCACAGTAACATCAATACTAATCAAAAGTAGCGCTACTGAATACAGCGATGATCAGAGGTGTCCAAGGAGTCATGCAGAGGTGCTTTTCATTCCACAGGAAATTCCTATTATCTTTTTTTAATGTTGTGTGTGCACTTGCACTTATCTTTTATCATACAATCAGCTAAATTTATACATAAGCAGAAAAACTTTACCAGTTAAACCTGAAAGTCCTCACTCACAACTTTATGACACCAAGACTTTCTTCTCCTTATATTCCATTAGCTTCCTCCCTTGCTTCACACTACAAAGGTTTCTAGAGTTGAGATCATTGCTAATTAGTACCTTGTGCAACATTCTGACTGCCTGGCCAAAGTCCTAGGCAAGCTGGGGCCTTTCTCTTAGCTTTACTGATGACTTCACTCTTCAAGACTGGATTTAGATAAAAGAAAAACTATTCCCTTCTTAGAAGCACCAGTGCAAATCTCCTCAAAATTATTGCACAGAAGGCTGCACTAGTAGTTTTCCTTTTAAATAAAGTGTCTGTTCTTACCAGATGAGTCTTCCTAGGCTAAGCTCCTCTACACACTGTGTACACCCTCAGAAGGCATTTCCCACGCCTTCCCTCACTCCAGTGAAGTGTGGGTCATGAGCAGCCCCCTTCCTGCTACTGCCCTAAGCAGGTAGGTCTGCTGGAGCTCATGCATGTGGGGAGTATTATGTGTCACCTCTTCAACAACACTCTGAAATAACAGTGAATGACGCCAACGTGAGGTCAGACTCCAGGCTGTATAATTTTACTGTTGTGAAAGGCACTACAAACTGCCTAACCCAAAGTCACTGCTGGCAGAGCCTCCTAGGACGAAGAGGCCAAAACCCTGGATCTGTCAGTTCCCTGCCCTGCAGCACAGCATGGACATGCACCCTAGGCCTGGAGAAGTGTGTGTACCTGGAGAAGGGGCATGCTGGGCAAAGGGCCTTTTGAAAATATGTTTCACTGATACAGTGAAAAGCTAAGACATCGCTGCCATCCCTGCCTCCAGGGGACAGTACACCGAGGAGCTGGGCACACATTTTGTGACCACTCTGGAAGTGCGGAGAGCACAACCCCGCCAGGGCCCTGAGCACCTGCATCTGTGCACATGCCTGGGGCAGGAGCGAAGGGCAGGCACTCTACCATGTGTGCCCAAAGCACACTGACAGAAGAGGCGGAGAGGGAGAAGAGTGGACAAACAGCAGCTCCTGCATGTTACATGGGTGAGCACCTGGAAAACTACAAATCCAAAACTTCAACTATACAAAAACATTTTGTTTTCAGAGCATTCTGGATTTCAGATTATCAGAATATAGATGCTAAACTAGTAAAGTCTATGCAGAAACTCCAAAATCTCACACTTCTGGTCCCAAGTACTTCAGACTAAGGGACAAAGAACTTGTTTACTATAAACAAATTAATAATATAAATTACCATAGTTTTATGACAAAATAATCTTGTCAAGCAGATTTTTTAATGCTATTTTATAAAAGAAAAAAATCTAAAGAACAGAGAGATTAAGTAACTTGTCTAAAGCTGCACAGCAGGAAATAAGACAGTCTGGCTTTAAACTCAAGGCTGAGGAGCTTCAGAGCTCACAGTTAGTACCTCACGGAGCTGCTGAGGAGCCCACATAGGTGCAGCAGATCTAAGTGCTATTCTGATCTATGTGTGGGCAGGGTTCCCGGCACTGACCTTTTCGGCCTTCTGGTGAAAAATGGAGGACATGTCCAGCAAGGTGCTGCGTTCATCCAGGGCTGCTGCGAATGCCTTCCATTCTTGCTCCAGCTGATTTGCAATCTGTTTAATCTGCTGAGAGGCATAGTGGCCAGATTCAACCAAGCGATTGGCTACCGACATGATGCGGTTTATATTTACATACACATTCTGCAAAAGACAGAAGCAGCAGGCTTGTTAGCAGAAGGCAGACGCAAGGTTCCTTTCGAAGAAACCCAGGTAGCACTTTCTAAAGCAGCTGACTGAAAGTATCCCTATTTTTAGCAAATGAATCACGTGGTAGGTAACAGATATAGCTGGTCTCTGGATTTCCATAAACCCTAAGCTTTGGTTCCAGTTTATATTTCTAAAACTGTAAAATTATAAATCAACTCGCTGTAAAGTACAAAGCCACTAAATGCAAAAGTGGGCGCACTCAAATACACTACGACTAACTTTGTGGCTTCCAAGATGGACAAGGAGCCAGATGGCAAGCCCGCTGACAAGCAGCCACGTAGAACTGAAGGAACCCGAGGTTTCAGTTTTTCAGCCAGAACCCAGAAACTGAAAAACATATACTTAGCAACCAAAGGCTATTTGTGTACAAACAAGCTCTTCTTTCTGCATAAGCCCAAGTCATCTTTTTGATGCCAACAGAAAATCTATGAATTGTCCCAGGAATATGAATTGAGGCAGAATCATCACAATGTTGTGTTCAAATATTAAGTGAAGCATTTCTATTCTGGTGAAGTTTGTATCTTCAAGCCCACCGGTTTAATGAAAAAGTATGCAGAGAAGGCTCATAAAAATAACCAAACAGAAAACTCCACTCTTTTTTCAAAACATGTTCTTGCCAGGACAGTTCTCTTTAAATACTCTCTAGATGCGATACCCAAGGCTGGGCAGGAGCACAGCTTCAACGGGTCCCATGCTGCTCTCTGTCACATATTTACTGTTTCTGAACACTGTCACCACACTGCTCCTCTCTGTGGATCCTCGAAAAGGCAGTTGTCCCTTTGGCGCTTCCTAACCTCCTGCTATCTAACCAGCCCCACTGTCCAAGTGCCCCATTTCCCTCCCTTCTTCCTCTGCCTTCCAGGGGCCCCTGTAGGCCACCTCCCTTTTCCCACAGGTGTCTACAGCCCACTCAGGTCAAGAGCCCCAAGACCCACTTGTCCACCCTTACTCTGCACCTTTTTCTGTTCATCATTCTCTATTTCTGACAGAAGTCAGAAGTTGGAGCAGCCACCCCACCCTGTAGAGAACACAGACTCCAGGCTGAGCTGTTTTTTGGGCTACAATCATCAACAGATCAAATATCCTGAGGAGGCAGGGAGAGGGAATACATTACAAGGCTGTGACAATCAGATCCAGGATCAGTAGGACTGAGTCTCACTGGCCTGGATTCTGGTATCACTAGTGTTCTTGAAGTTCAAAGCCATGTGTCCAGTCCTCCTGCCTATTCTTTCCCTCTCCCTTCCTTTTCTTTAAGCATAAGATGACACCCTGTACTACTCTATTCTTGTATCTCTGAATCTTTTTTTTTTTTTTTTTTTTGTACAGGTTCTTGCTATGCAGCTTGGAGCAGTGATCCTCCAGTTTCAGCCTCCCCAGCACTGGGATTATAGGTATGCACCACCACTCCCAGTCTCAGTCATTGGCTCAGCATGCCTGGGGGCAGACCTGTGTGGCATGTGGTGTCAGGGATCAAAGCTTGGTCCCTGTTCTTGCCTAAGCAGATGCTTAGTTTGCTGAGCTATCTCCCTGGCCCTATTTTGTATTCTTTAAAAAATAAAAAAGAAGAAATCAATCTTTTCATAATGTAAGATCACGTATATCTCTTTCTAAAATTGTTCAAGTTGATATTCTTCATCACCTAGAATTAAATTTTTGTATACTACAACATATAGAGTTGTAAAATTCATTCCAAATATTTATACATA